CCCACGCTCCTAAAGACATAAGAATTCAATCCGCAATAAATCGATAGGATGAAGTTTTAATCCCTGCGTTAGTTGACGAATATCTCTCCATTAAAACACATTTTTATTTTAGTACAGAACGCGAATTTGTGTTACACGACTGGAAGCTTTCATCGGTGTAATTTTAACTGAAATTATCATTATGACTACGTGTAGTTTATTCATTTTCGTGTTGTGAAACTGTTTTAATCGCGTAATTTTAATAACGTCGACGTGAATACTCCTCTTTAATCAACATAATACTTTAAATTTAATTAAATATGTAAATGCGATAATAAACAAAATTGGAAAATAAAGCGATCTTGCGTAAAACTCTTTTGTTTTATGTTCATTTGTATATTGTGCATAAAAGAAGAGCGTTGCGGCCTATTTTTTCCAGACCAGCTATAATATTAAAATTACTTTATTATTATTGTTCCCAGATATTGAAAATTTTTAATACATTATAATCTTATTTATTAGAAGTGGCACGGTTTTATTATCCGTTCGAGCTTTCTAAATTAAAATTGCCTTGGGCGGCGCCCTACGTCATTAATGACGTATTTCGTATTCTGTTTCACTATAATTATTCTCCACACTTTGCTTGGTGTTTTCGTAGCCCTTTCAACCTTATTAGCTTTTTGACAACAAGAACCGCCATCATTTATCGTGCCGACGTAAATTAAAAGACGATTCATTGCCAGATTCTTGATTGAAAATTTTTTTAATTTAAAAATTTAATCAGCGGTTGCAATCGATTTCTTACGTGGTTATTTGACATTTACTAAAGGAAATTGGCAACAAAGGAAGACATTCAGGGCTAGTGATCATATCTAGCACGATAAGTTTAACGAGTATACAAAATGCATTCTTCCGGAGAATTTATCACTAAAAATCAGGATGAGAATCGGATAATCTTAAATATCCATTGGTAAGCAAATGAAAATAAGTTCTAAAAATAAAATACAAAATTCGTTTAAGTCTAAGTTCATTTCTGCAGTTTCAATTAGTTACCTAAATTCGCTATTTATATGGCAAATTATCTTATAGAATGTCTGCGTATTATGAAAGAATTAATTGTGTTTTTAATTTTACAATTTCCGCCTTTATTTGCTAACAGACTTAAATAATAATTTAAAAACTATTCCGTTTAGTGTGGATATAGGGAATAAAAATGTTGTTTTTCAAAATCCGAAGAATTTTCTTAGTTAACAAATGGAATAGTTTCCAAAATACAACAAGAACAGTAAATCTAATATAGGCAAATGGAAAGCTACATTAAATAAAATTCGTCAAGTCCGATTAATAGTTCACGAGCAATCAGCTTTTGACTTCTGGGCTTGTTTATGAGACAACCAAAAATGATTTTGCAAATCGACCCGATTCTTTAAAATGTGAATTTTTTTATGCTTCTATTTCACCAATATGAATGATTTTTATTAATCCGAGTGCTAAGGGTTACCTTTCTTGTTATATTTCGGGAGTTACTCCATTTGTTAGTTAACTAAAAAAATTCCACAGTTCGTCGTATTGCAAAAATCATCGGGATTTTTGGAAAAGGTTGTTTTAGAGTTCCACTAACTGCAATAAAATTAAGAACGCTCTGGGAGTCACCCAGTTTGAAAGACAAAGCATTGATTTTTTTTAAATTTGTTTATTTAATTAATCGATGACTATGAAACCTAAGGGGTTAGGGTTTGTCATATTGTTTTGTTGTGAAAAGATGTGATCAAATACGGATTTTCGAAAAGAACGGATGAATTTTACTTAGTAAGAACAAATTGTTAATTTTCGAGAATACATTTTTTTTTTTTCCATAATAAACAATAATACCTATTTGAAAATAAACGTTTCATAATCTTATCCATTTTTTCCCTCAGAGCAATAGTTAACGAGATGATTGAAATCAAATGCGACAAGAAACGCCCTTTTTTCTTCGTTTTTTGTTTATAACAATATTCCGGCAGTTTTCGGCAAGGGGGACTATGACTTTCGGATTCATCGGATTTTTACATAGAATACACTTGGTTTCGTTGAGTGAAATGGCAACATCCACCCCAAATCGTAATTTGACTGGACTAGAAGGACAAGGAAATACTTTCCATTTCCATTAAAGTAGTAACATTGGTAGTAAGGTAGTATACGAGTAGGATGAGATAAGGATAAAAATGCATTCTGCTTCTCGCGAATGCAATTTCCAAAAATGTCACTTGCCATTTTATCTTCACCGTGTCTTTTACTCTTACATTTAATTAGACGTCAATAAAACTACTATTTAACATAGGGAAAAAAAGGTGTTGTATGATAGTAACATCACATTCAGTCTAACTCGTTAAAACTGGAGTTAAAACTGTAACATTTCGAAGCTAATTTTAGTGACAAAATCATTCCACTTGTCAACCTCAACTTGAAATGAAAATGAACTTCCAAACAAAAAGATTTTACATTTTTGAAAGCTGTTTCGTCTCCTCTAAAGCTAAGGAATAAATTATTACTTTACGCACCTTGACGAAAATCTGTCGTTTAGTTGCTGTGCTTGAGTCGACCACCCCTTTTGACCTTTTCATTTTTGATATATACATAATTATTGATCTTCCTTGATAAATATCTGTTTTGTCCATCAAAGGAGACGACCCAATTGAACATATGAATGAAAGCGTTAATTGTGGTTTAAGTAAAAACTTTTCCCTCTCTCAGTCGTCTTTATTTTTAAATTAGTATTGAGTTTTGAAGGTATTGATCCTTTTACGTACAAATCCTATTTTTACAAAATTTACCTAACGCCGTTAAAAATGCGCATCGTTTTAGTGTCAAACATAAAATCTTGCCAAATAGCAATTAACAAAAAAACTGTAAGAGCAACGCCCGAGTGTGTATTATGGAAATTTATGCGTATGCATATGAGGATTTGAGTAAGCGAGCTTTATGAATAAGACGGCACCTAAAATTAAAAGCGAATTTAAAATTTATGATGAAAACACGTTGTAAAATGTAAACGGGTGAATAGCCTTACCTGGCGATTGCATTGCTTCACCTGTGCAAGAAGAACATGAGTGTTAGAACAGAAAACGTTGACCCATAGACTTAACACGTTGGCCAATCGTTTGTTGAGGCCAAGCCTACATGAGATCGCGGAGAAATTGTAACTGGGTTATCATTATGCATTAAGCTCGCTTCATTAACGAGGCGTTTACCAAACCTACGTTGGAATCAAACAGGCAGTTAAATATTAACGTGATAGAATATTGAGCTCGTGAGATATGAATAATTTATTTGCTTCAGATATTTTGAACACAACAGCGTATTGGAAACGTGAAATTTATTAAGCGCACATTCCAACAAGTTCGGCAGTCAATACAGTTTCCTGAAAAATAATTAAATTGGGAATGCATACCAACATTTTGCATTCGGGATTTAAATTTTTAATTTAAGAGTATTTTGACTGCACACTGCTTGCTGCTAGGCTACACAATTGTTTAAATGCTAAAGTATTTAAACAATGGCTGCACTTTGTTGGATGTTTCAGTAAATCATCCGCAAGGGAACTGCGATTACTGTAAATCTGTTTCATGTATTTAGACCTAGCTGTCAGTGGATATATGACCAATGTGAAATAACAATCGTCCAAAAACAGTTCCAGGAGAAGTTTGAAGAACAAAGAGGTAGTAAATGTGCTCCATACATTTTATTCTTTCTGTGACATAGACAACACAGAGTAGGACCATCAAAAAGATCTCCTTATTATCGACCATGCATGTATGTTGGAACGTAGGATTTTGCAACTTCATCTGTAAAAACATTTAAAACACGCGTAAAATTTAAAGAAATGTAGCTCTATAACAATTTTCAGAAAATCATCAACTTCAATTTACGAGGAACTGTGACGGAATTTCTAATGAACCGGTGCGCAAAATTCCCAAACGTCATAATAGTACATTATACAGTGAGTTTTTTTAAAATGCGAACATAGGAGTTTGCATGCAATGTAATTTCCCTATGTTCGATTTTAAAAAAAACACATCAATCTATGAGATGTGCGCGGTTCACATTCCCAAATCGCGCAACTTGTGTGACTATGAACAGCAATTCTATAGTCTTTATGATGAACAGCACTCAGTAAGATTTTTTTAAAGAAGCCATGTGAGGCCATAGCAACTTTAGGATACATTTTTCTTAAACTTTGACTTCACAGGCCACGCACTGACACCGCAACTCATTGTGAACCAACCTTCAATTATTTGTAGGTCATGTGCACCTGGTATTGTACTAATTTGATCTATTCAATACATAAATGAAGAAAATAAAAAAATAAATACCGAAAACAATTACAATAAATGTTCGAAGTGTCCTCCTTGACATTCTAAGCAATAACTTAATCGATTTCGTAATTAAATTGGACGGCGGTATTTTTAAAAATGTGACAGCTGTCAATTGTATCTACTACTCACTTGAACTACTCAATAGATTGATGTGTTTTTTTAAAAATCGAACATAGGGAAATTACATTGCAGGCAAACTCCTATGTACGCATTTAAAAAAAATTCACTGTATATCAAGGTAGAGAAGTACAGTATTATTGCCTGAGCACCAAGATTACATCTCGAGGCGCTTGCGCCGAGGGGTGTAAGGTGCGAAGGCAATAATAGACTTCTCTACCGTGGTATATATAGGTACTATTTTTTTCACTACTAGCACTTGAAATCCTCTAAATTAACATATTATATTGATAAGAAAGTGAACGGTTGGACAGAATTGTTTGTTTCTTAATTTAACATGTCAATCAAGTACGTAGAAGTACAAGTCAAACAGGCCGTATTTTGTTCTGTCATTGAGATATTTTCAAAGAGTAATTTCGTTCGAATTTTTTCAAAATGTGTCCACATTATTAACCACTTTGAACAAATGCTGAGAAAGCCTATTTTACAAGTGGAAAAAAAAAAAGGTTAATAATCATGTCATCAGACGCTAGTAGTGAAAAAATGTCTTTTATATTAAAAAACAAGGAAACTAGTCTTTATAGAAGAATAGAAATTTAAAAAAAATGATAGATGCTTATGGGATATACGTGTGAAAATTCATCATGATTTCTATTCACTACAAACACACTCTTATAGCCTTTTTCCAGATTATTCCCTCAAAAATTCCTCTTATATTAGAAATGGTATGGAATACTCCAACATTTAAAAGTTTTCTCCAAAGTCGAAAAATAGACTTTGATTCTTTGATTCATTCTTAAGTTTGCATAACGTTATGAAGACCATATTTTGCAACTTTTTAGTGTATATGGCAGTAATTTCACATACATGAACGTAAAGTAGGTATATTTTTTCGTGCGTAATTTTTCTAGGTACGCCAACTTAGTTAAACAAGTATCATCTTAATACGTTCGTTTAAGAATTTTAATAAGCCCTCTAGTGAAGAATAAAGTTCAAAAACTCACTTACCTCGAAGGAATTGTTCTTGGAGTTACACCTGGAACAAAGACAAGAATTAGAAGAAGCAGTAGTGGTGTTACAAGTAAAAAACTATGTTATTCGCATGCCTCAGGAACATATAATTAACCCACATTAGAATTAATTGGAAAATACCTGGGCTTTCAACTAAAAGTAATAGAAGCCACAAATAGTTATGTTAGAAACTACTGTCGAATGATCATTCATTAACATGTTACTAATTTAAGACAATGAAAGTTTAAAAAAAAGGCACCACCGTATAGCATAAAGATCGTCACACTACTTGCAAAAAGGGGAGTTGCATAGTGTACAACGTGTCGGCAACTTTTAACACATACGACGTTGGTAAGTCGGTTAAATAAAGGCAAAGTTGCGCCTTTTTGTCACCAATCGAACGATCGATGTCTATAAAATGAAAATATTCCGAATAAGTTGAGAGGTATTCGAAAAAAACCTTTTAGCGCAGTCCCGCAATTAAATTAAAAAATTGTGGCCATTTGCTCGTCCGTCCCTACGGCTGTGTCACTATCACACCTTTATCTTAAGAGCTTTTCGCTACTTGGTTCGCTATGGTGCCGAGGAACAAAAAAAATTATTTTATTTTATAGCAGATGTTAAATTGACGTAGGCTATAAGTAACTCTTTAACAAGAGGGGCAGTTAAAGTGATTACTTTAACGGCAGGGGTAGATAAAATGGAACAAATCATTGTACATTCCGATGACATGTCATTCTTATTAAAAACGGGACGCGGATCACGAAATCAACGACTAGATAACCTACACTTGGTATTTTGGAAGTCGAAATTTAATACCTACAGAATTTTCAGAAGTTTTATAATGATTTCTATGGCTTCTCCCATAAAATAAAACCCATTCATTGTGTTAATAAATCCATTTTAATCAGGTCAAACATTGAATCTTTCTTAGTTTTGACGACCATTTTGGACCATAGAGGCCCATAATCTTGATCTGACCCCAATTTAATTGAGGAAATGGTTAAATGTTATGATAGAGAAAAGTGGTTACTTGGGGCCATTATTTATTATGTGCAGGTGTTACAAATGGCTTTTGTATGCACAGAGTAAACTTTAATAATAATAATTTTTTTTGGTGCACTACAACTGCTCCACTTAACCCATATCCAAATTATTGACATGGGAGAGGATCCAAATTTGTTGAAATGTCTCATCGTAAGTTATTCCGGTCAAAATAACTCAGTGGCTAACGTGCGGGTAAGTAAAAATGTCCCAAAATATTCGGAAGCCTTTCAGTTTGTAAGCAGCCTCAGATTCTGCATCAAAATGCGCAACTTGTGTTCTATTTAACCGGAAATTAATAATGAGATATCAAAGATAATTAGAGAAAAAATTTAAACAAAACACCGTCAACTAGTGATGCCGCCGAGCGAGACGAGATGAGACTAACCACCAGGCTCGGCGAGACTCTCGTTTGGTTTCGAAGTCTTTTTTTTGTATTTATTTGTACTGTTTTTTTTTAAATTTTAATCTAGAAAATCCATTGAAGTAGCACGAATTCCAATTGTTTACATAAACCGTTCCTGACCTTACTGATTTAGGACTTAATTGCCATAGGTCTTATACAATAATTGTAATTTTTCTTAAATCCAGGAAGCCTTCGACAGCTTTATTTAATTTTATTGGCGGATAATTGATTTATTAAACTTGCCCTCATCAATAGCAGTTTACCTGCTTACTCAAATAATCGTAATTGTCTATGCTGGAAAAACAAAATTTGAATATAATACTTAATAGGATTTCGCGGATTCCCTTTTATATTAAAAGCACTTAATGCTCTCATTATATTTTCACAAGTTTATGGCATTAATGCCCAGTTTCTCCAATGTATCTTAAGCTCTACTTGAATCTTAAGATCGCCTTAAATCTTAAGTCTATCTTAAAACGTTGCACCAACGCAAATCTGCATCTTATATTCACAAAGGCAGCCTTACATTTAAGTCGTGAAAATCTGCGACTTAAGTCGGCATTATTGTTAGTGAAGTTGAAAATGAGTGGCATTTTGTCTTTCAAACGTCACTTTTCAAAATGGAATTGATCGATGTCGATGATGTCGATGTGGTTGATATGGTAGACATAGTAGAAAATATTCGAATACCACGGCAAATTCACATTAGGAGAAATTTATTTAATATTTATTCTAATGTTGAATTTTTTCGACGATTTCGACTCGAAAAAGGGACTGCTTTATATTTATTGGAGAAAATAGAACATAGACTAGAGTACTTCCATAACAGGTAAGTACACATCATTCATAGGTTTGTTTCACGTTTGTATACTTACCTACATATAATGCTTTTTGTGACTATTGTATAGTGCGAATTCAAGGTGTACAATAATGTTTTTTGAAATTCAGGAATAATTCCATCAGTCCCATGAATCAACTTTTGCTAACGTTAAGAGCTTATGCCAGTGCAGGGCATTTTGTTGCTGTTGGAGACTTTGTGCATGCAGACAAGTCAACAGTATGTAAAATTGTTTCAAAAGTTTCAAGGCTCATAGCATCAATTGCAAGGGAATTTATATACATGCCTCGAAATGAAGTTGAAATTGCAAGTGCTCAGAATAAATTTTACGACATTGCTGGTTTCCCTAGAGTCATTGGGGCAATAGATGGATGTCATATAAAAATTCAATCACAAGGTACTTACTACACTATTTTTTTCACATTATTTTTAGTATTATACTTTACATTCGCTCATTTCTACAAATAAGAATTTAATTTAAAGGTGGAGCTGATGCTGAAATATATCGAAACAGAAAGGGATATTTCTCTGTAAATGTGCAAGCCGTTACAAGTGCTGACCTGTTATTCCAAGATATCGTCGCACGTTGGCCAGGTTCGACGCACGATACCACCATTTTTAGAAATTCACGATTAATGCATAGATTCAATAATGGAGACTTTGGAAATAGTATCTTGTTGGGTAAATAGCACTTTTTTCAATATTAATTTACAATCGCTACTTACTTTTTAGGAGATAGCGGTTATATGAATCTTTCATATCTATTTACACCTTTTCTGAATGTTCAGAACGATGGTGAAAGAAACTACAACAGAAGTCACGTTCAAAGTAGAGTCAAGGTAGAAAATCTATTTGGTGTTTGGAAAAGAAGATTTCCTATAATAGCGTATGGATGTAGAATGAAGCTAGAAAATGTACTTTGTGTTATTGTGGCTACAGCAGTTTTGCACAATTTGGCTCGTTTGAGGGGAGAACCAGAACCACCTATTGAAAATTTAATTATGGAACACGAGCTTCAGCAAGCAATTCGAGATGGAGATATTCCTTTAGCCGCCGAAGAAAATGATTTAGGCTATGATTATAGAAGACATTTAGTAGATATATATTTTTCTAGATTGTAATTTTCGTATTTTGCAAGTTTAAAGATAAATTATATTACATATTAACATACCTACTACAATAAACATTTTTTATTAAAATTGAAAATACGTACTTATATGTACTTATTTAAATGAATTCATTCTTCGAAAAAATACTAGATTTATTTTATGGCAACATTTACTTGGAACAAGAGCACTTCCCAATTTCCTCTTCCATTAAGTAAATTTTTTTCTTGTGCTCAACTTCCATGGCATGTAACATTTTCTTGTGCTCCTTTTCTTGCAAAAGAATTTCTTTTTGAATTTGTAGTACTTCAATTTTAGCTCTTTCTGTAGGTCCCAGGTCTGCGTTAATTTTAGGTCTCCTTCGAGCAGACCAACGAGTGCCTCGTAAAAGTGTGGGCGTGGGCTCTTCGTAAGTAAGCAGAACGTTTTGATTGCACAGTTCAGTTTCATCATGTGTTTGTTCTAAAGGTGTAATCGAAGGTGTACTGGATGTACACGGTATTTCTATGTTAATTTCTTCTTGATTGGGCTTGGAAGATATCAAAATCGGCATTCCAAGAATATCCTCTGCTGGATGATCTAATATAGGTTCTACAAAATATAAAAATACTTGTATCTATGTGTGCCTCACTAAAAATATAATTAATGGAAATTCGAGTGTAAATTTTACCTTTCATTACATCAGAATCAAATTCATTTCTTAGACCAAGGACTGTCTTCTTATTTATTATATCCAAAACCAATTGTTCATTTGCTTCACAATTTTTCGAAGAAAGTGCAGGAGCAACTCCTCCACCAGTTTTGTAAAGCTCCTGCCTTTCTAGTGCCGCCTTTTTTCTTGAGTCCTGCTTCATATTGCTCCACTGCTTCCGTAAAGAATTGGCGTCACGAAAGACGTTGAAACACTTTTTATTAAAATTTTGCTCAATAATTTTCCAAACGTCATCTTTTTGATGGTTTGAAACGGCGTTTGTATCTTTATTTTCGATGATATTTTTATTTGAATCAACCAAATGAATTAATAGTTTTTTTTCTTCTTGAGTGTAATTCACTCTTTTTTTATTAGAATGCATGTTGGCCGATGTCTAACAAGTTCGGTGCACGGTTCGGTGGGGCAATGACGAGTAACTCACAGAATAAGGCCTTATTCTGTGGAGTAACTATCAAGTTTGACAGTTTGCAATTATTAGGTACCTACCTTCGGTAACGCGATTCATTAGTAAAATTGGCATTCATTTGATAAAATTCTGTGTTGCCAGATCGTTTCAGACAAATTCTGATGCTTAGCTAAGATGCGAACTTAAAATTTTGGTGCAACGTAATTTAATTTTAAGGACGCCTTACAATTAAGACCGCCTTGCCTAAGGTACAGCTTATATTTTGTTGGAGAAACCGGGCATTAAGTCCAATCGTTTCTAGGTATTGGTACAGTGACTCAATTTAGAACAGTGGCTACAACACAACAAGGTATCTCGTTTTTGATTCGTTCCGGTCGCCATATTGGGGCTAAAATGCTATACTTTAGTATGTGAGTTTACACTTTTCTTTGTATTTTTGCGAAATTCTGTAAATAACGGCCCTGTTTATGGTAAAATGTATATTGTGGACATATGACATATCCTAATATAGTTACTGTGGGTAACTTACATATTTACCGCGTAGTTACGACCATAAAAGTAAGGTTTTACAAAATATCTTGGACAGAGTATTTAAGTACAAAGAATTCAGTGAGACTTTGCTACCTAGTTACATTACCAGATACATTTTATGAAAGCTAATATTTTTTAGTTACAGAATGGTAAAGAAAACCCTTAAAATACGCATAATTATGTTTCGTGATTAGAAGATAGATAAGGAAGGTCATTATTATTTGTCATGTCTTCGTGGTAACCTTTTATATCCTCTACACCATTTTTTGATAGTTTGGCGAGACCAAGCGAGACCTAACCAGACTAGACGAGACGAGACGAGATCTTCAAAAGTCTCGTCTCGGGGCAACGCTACGGCGTCAAGTCATTAAGGTTATCTATCATTAGTCTGTAAAAAAATCAGCTTCCTTTATCCAACCGTAACCTATAGTTACATCCGTAAAAAGTCCGTAAAAACCAAATAAGAATTATTTTTTACGGAGTTATCAAATGTTCGCGATTTTGGTAAACATATTCTTAAGAGTTATTATCAAAGTTTTCATTTGGTGAATAACTTATTTTCTCAGAAAAAAAACCATTTAGAATTGGTACCGCAAGAAGTACCACAGAGCCTTAAGTAACGTGACCTGAGGCGGCAGATGGTCGATATTAGCATACTCAGATAGGGCAAAGTGGAACTCCATCGGTTAAAATTTTGATCACTCTCGTTCAGTGGTTCAGTGGTGCTACCGTTGTATAAGCCCTTACTGTTCTGATAGTGAGGAGCTTTAGTAGCTTATTGATTGACTCCCGCACATACCCCCACTTTAGCGTGTAAACCCACACTTCGCATGCGGGACTTTTCGTTTTGATGCTGTTGTTCCAGCGTTGTTGGGCATGATTCTGGTCAAACCTGAGTAATCTTTGACATCTGTTCTACTTATAACTAACATGTTGTACCTATGTATATTCCATTTTTATCAATTATGACCCCCATATGCCATTGGTCTAGAAGTTTTCGGACCATATTTGTGTGAAAAGTAAGCTGGGGCCGTAAGCAATTTTTATTACCTATTTCGAATGATACAGATGTTATCGCTTTGTGGTTTCAACAGGACGGAGCAACTTGCCCTATTTCCAGATATTTGCATATATTTTTAAAAAATCAAAATCTGCTTCCATCTACAACCCTTCGTAATAATACTCGTACTCGTCCTGATACGGGACTCTAGTGCTAGTTATATAAACGATTGTTTCCAAAGCCTTCATGGTGTAGGTTAACTATATTACCCTAAAGTATAAAAAAGTGGATCCAGACGGATCAACGGGCGGACGGAGGGATCAGGCGCAATATTGCAACTGCGTTTGAGCCATTGCTTTATATTAAAAAATGTTATATTCCCAATAGTATTAAGTGGAACTAAACAATTCACAATGATGTACCTACAATTCAAGTGTGAATACTCGAGAGATGGGTAGACAAATGAAGACAAATCTAAATCACAAATCTATAACCTACAGAATACAGAATACAGAATATTTGAAAAATTCACTTTTTAATCTACAACCTCATCTACAAATAATTAACAAATGGTGCAGCACATCGTCAAAAAGAAGACAAATCTATTTAATTTCATAGAAAAATATAGCATTAACCATTTTAGTTACGCAAAGAATTAAGAAAGTTAATTTTGGTTGCGGTGCATCAATATGAATCCGACCGTGGAATGGTTAAAAACGTCAACGAAAATGTATTATTGCGTAAACAAAGGTAAGTATCTTGAGTTTTGAGAGGTAGATTTCACAAAACGCGAAAAAGACATATTCGAATGCATATTTCTGCTATTGCGAGCTATACAAGACGTTAACATATTAAAAATAAATGTAGTTTTGACTCAAAAAGTTTTCTTGCATCCACTTTGACAGTTTAATACTGCAGGTACAAACGAAATGTATGCACAAAAGATAGCATGCTACCGATATGGATGCAAAAGTACTGAACGTAATAACATAGTTTGAATTCCCACGACTCCATTATTTGAAGTTTTGTTATTCGCAATTCCCTTTCTTTTCGATTATAACTGGTTAGTTACTGTCTTAGTAAAATTGTCTCCCTTCCAGTAGCGACAATAATGATCAATATAGAAATTCGAGCAATCTCCGCGGATGCCTTCTACCGGTAAATAGACACATTACCTTTACTGTTCGCTCATCTAACTTTTACGTTTACAACTTTGTCGTAAATACATACGGTATTATTAGCAATAAGGGTGCTGTAAGTCTTCCAAGCTCGGAAATATCAACTCGCAAGCAACTGTGCCTGTTACAATGAAGCTTACTACCTCTATCTACTTATTTACCCATTTGATTTTAAAAATTCCTCCCCATCCTCCTTCCCATCTTTTTCTAACGGTAGGATTTGCTAAAATGTTTACTGAAGAAGCAAGTAAGCTAATGCCAAAGCTTAATTACTGAAAACTTTGGAGTTTTCTGTAACAAAAGTCAGAGTTTGTCGAATATTTTAAAGAAACCATTTTGTTATTAACGTCGAACTCTTTTTCCAATTGATAGTCACAGGAAAAAATGACTTTACGGTTCAGAATGGGCATTGAAGAATCACAGAAATCATACAGACATTGGTTAAGGTGATGAGCTTCGTCCCAAATCGCGTGTTCGAGTTCGTTCAAATGGCCGTATTAGTTGGAAAGTTAGAATTCGTGTACCTTCCTGACCTCACTTACTATCAACTAATATTTGCCCCTTATAAATACGCGATTATACCGTACAGTAAAGCTACACCCCATATAATTTATTAGATTAATAGTATAAGATAAAATAATAGAACAGTAAAGTAACAAACTGTAATCAGATGATTAAATTATAATAAAAAGTGAATTAATTTCATACTAGCGTGACACAGTCAAATAAAAAATTCAGTAGTATTTGTCGATTACAGTTTTTGTTGTCCTTTTGAAAAGCGAGTGGCATGGTTCTTTTATTCATTAACTTTAATAGTCAATTCATGACTTTTAATTCTACTCTAGATTTGCGTTAAACATGCAGTGCGTAATTTGTACCTGCAAATATCCCAACGAATCCAGAATGAGTATTGATGGATCGAGACAAAATATATTACTCTGCGCCATCTGTTTCGATTTGATCTACTTTTAGAAGTTGAAAAGAATTTCGTCAATACGGGAGCTTTCAGCCGGCTATGAACGCATTAAAACGTAAGCTGACTTTCTTCAACTTATTATTAATTGATGATGAGTTCGTTCTTTACAAGTTTGTTATACTTTTTCAGAACGATGTCCGTTCTATATATACGTTTAAATATCGCAGAACCGACGTTTTCCGGATTCACGTTTCCTGGAATAACAGGTCAAATGGAACAGAAGAATAAAACCACAAATGTGGTATCTACATGTGGACAAA